TCTGTCAATTCGAGTATGTTATTGAATCGGTCGTAGATGATCCTATAGCCGATAAAAAAAGATTACTACTGTTTCGCTTATTAATTACTCGCGATCTAACATTGATCATTTTATTAATTCAATTAATCATTGTCGGCATGACATTTTTGTTACAGTTAGCAGATAAAAAAAATCAGACTATTAAAAATTTATTTCCACAGTCTATGAGTTCATTTGGTGTTTATTACTTGAGCAGTTTAATATTATTCTTGGCTTTCTTAGGTTTGTTTGGTTTAATTGGTGGTTGTTGTGGATGGATACAAGATAATGCTAATAATGGTGATTCTTGTCCTGCTTGTGCTTGTTATCCGTATAGTTGTCTATTTGTCAATTGTAATGATTGCAATGGAAGTAATGATTGTGGTAAAGCCGGTGGCGTTATACTGATAGTCATGATACTGATATTTGCTGTTATTGGAATATTTGTTGGATTGATACTAACTGTTATAATTGTAAGAAAAGTAATACGACGTCATTCAAATAAATTATGGTTAAGACAAGAAGCTAAAAAATATATTGTCAAAGATTTTCAAGGAAAAATACATGAATTAGAGGAAACCATAGTTCAACAGCGCGTTACAGTGTCATCAATACACATTTAGATTGACAATGATAGCTTTGAAATAAAACCATTAATAATGTTCCAATTATGATCTGTAATAACGTTCTATGCAAATTAGTTTATTATAGTAATAATAATGAAGTCATCATAATCCATTTGTCTCAATAAAAGTGGACATTATTGGAATTTTAAAGACAATTTGCTTTCAATATGCTTGTGTTTGTGTTATTTTTAATGCTTATTTGTTGAATTAATCAAATAAAAGTTTCGCCTATTTACACTTTGTAGCATTCTTAAGCACTATTGGATGTGGGTGTGGTTACGCGGATATGGGCATGAGTGAAAATGGCACACATCCATACCCTTAAATTGATGTTTTTGAAAACCAACATACTCCGTAAGGCGACTAAGGCTTATTTTCAATAATCAGGTGCGTATTCGAATCGCTAAATGAAGATCTACAAAACTGCACAAGGCCTAGACTTTTAGATTTATTTGTTTAGGAATTATAGTCATTTTATTCAAAACTCTTAGCCGATTTTTTTATTAATTTCTGTGGAAAAAAATTACTTTTTCCCGTTTTTATTATGATAAGAGCAATCAATTTTTCGGCATTTTTTCAGAAAATTAATTAAGAAAACTATAAGAAAAAGAAAAAAATAACATCTTAGAGAAGTCTATTATATACCTTTCGATGCGCCTACATCCCCACTTTCCAACGATGAAAACTGCAGTTCTCTATCTTGTTTCTATTAAAAGTTATTTAAGAAATATCTATCCGCCTTTTTTTTTTGAAATGGACAATAGCTCTCAGTGTCATTTTCTACATTTTTTGTTTTCATTTGAATTTTAAGTCACTTTCAAGAAAGGATTCTCGTAGGGAAGACTGCAAAAATAATTGCATTCAGAAAAGTTCTGTATACGTGCCTCCTTGATATGAATTTGATGTTTTTCTTGGAACACACATTGAAGTCGAATGAGAATTCGATATTCTTAATATTTAGAAAACCCTTCAGTCGATAAATTATCTTTTATTCAATATTAAATCTTTCTAACCTGAAGATATCCATTATTTTTATGTCTCGATGTTCGAAGCTATCCACTGTTGATTGTAGCAAAGACGATTAATCGACATGATTTAGACAAGAGATTAGCACTAGCGAGAGAATTCATTTGAATAGAACCTAATCATATAGCCTATAAACGGACGTTTCAAATTCATCATTATCATATGAACTTCAGTTCATCTTTGCCATTGCTGGTCTTTCTTTCTGCTCGATATTTTCTCGTTTTAATTTTTTTCTTTACCTTCATTAGTGTTCTTTTTCCGTTGCTCTCATTTATTGTATTACTTCTCATTTGTTCTTCGAGTGATGATTATTCTCTCTTTTAGTAGTATACAAAATAGTCGATCGAAGTTTGGATTTGAACCTGCTAACTATCGGCAAATATGAACAACTACTTATGTATTCCTTTTAGTGAAATCATTTATTCAATGAAGTGAAAGATATTATTTATGCTAATAATTTGTAAATGCATTTAAATAAATTGATTACTTTAATATAGACAAATTTATGCAAAATAAATGCAAGTAGATTCAGCTTTCTCTCGCTAATCAAGATATCGTTTTTAAAAGGAATGTAACATTAAACATCGTTGAGTATGTATTGATGCACAGTAGCACATGTTATATCATGAAAATCATTGGCATTTTGATGACGTTCAAAAAAACCCATCATAAACTCACAATTATCAGATTTGTTCAAGAAATTAATGACAATATAGAGATTCAACGTAATTTTCATAACAAAAAACTGATTTTCACAACTCGTTGGTAAATCATTAAGATAAGTCGTGATATTATTAGCAAATTTTAACAATTCAGACGGCATTGTTGATTTTTTATGAAAAAAGAGAAAACTGTTAAAACTAATACCGAATACATTTTACGAAAATAATAATTCACACAAACATAAACAATAAAAACGATATAAAACTTCAATTTATCATCAATGTCACCACTATTGCATCATTCATAGGATTAGGTAACGACTGATGAGAGAGAGCGAGAAAGGACGAACTCGACATTGTCTTTTCTCTATCGTTAGTATTAGAAAATCGTAACAACAAGAACTGTTGCTTGGCTGCTGTGGCCATTTAAATCTATCGGGATCGTTTCAAGTTTTGTCTCTATTGAGAGCTCAGTGTTCTTGTCTTTTACCTGCAATGTCTGAGAAGTTAGTGGTGTCGATGAGGATCCCCTCTTCATCAACATCCGCACTATAAGTTATACAATCTCTACAAGCGTCACTTTTTTTTCGAGATGTAACTATACAACAGCCGTCCGAAGTTAGAACATGCATTCAAATGTTTTCTTATACTTTTCATTTTGGCAATTAAAAAACAATAAAGAACATAGCCATACATAAAAGCTCATGAGAAACAACATCGCTGTGGAGGTTGTGGGTCGGGTCGTCGTAATGTATAGGATGGAGGTGTCCTATTTTGACAAATATCAAGAATAAGATTTTGGAAAACCTGTCCCACATTCGTAGAATCCAAAGCTGACGTTTCAATATACCTTTTTTTAAAAAATATTTTACATATTGATTCTGGCAAGAGAAAAAGTATCGAACTTACTGCATATTTCTTTGATCAGCAAATTTTTTTGCATCGTTTGATGAAACAACTCGAATATGTTGTTGATCGACTTTATTTCCTACCAGTATAATACAACAGTCATTATCGGCATTGGATGTCAATTCGTTGTACCTTTTTAAAGAAAAATTATATTTTGAGGCAACAGAAAGAAAAAAAAATATTTAACCATTCGTCAAGATGCTGAAATGTTGATACTCTCATTATGTCATATACGAGTAGAGCACCTAATGCATAACGATAGTAAGGCTTTGTAATTGCTTTGAATCGTTCTTGACCAGCTACACAAAGCAAAGAAATATAAATAAGAAATATGTATTGATAAACAATCTCACCCGTATCCCATATTTGTACTTTAATTATTTTATCATCAATTTGTACTTGTTTTGTTAAAAACTCAACACCAATAGTTGATCGACTTTCAAATGAAAATTCATTTTGCACAAAACGCGATATTAAACTCGATTTACCAACACCAGAATCACCTATTAAGACAATTTTAAAAATATAATTGGCCGTCAATGGACTTTCCCGAGAATCGCAGCTCTGAATCGAAGATGAACCCTCCATTGTGTTTTTTCTACAATGACAAAAACTTTGAAGACAGAATTATATGTTATGAGTAATCATGGGTTTCATATATCGATGGACTCAATATTAGTCAGTTTTTTCTATTCATGAGTTTCGCCTCCTTACTGTTGAAAGTGCTTTCATGTAGAAGAAGAAGAAAGATTAGCACAGAATCGAATTAACAACCAATAAAGTATACGGAAAAAGAAACATAAGTTTTATGATTAGTTTTTTCAAGTTACTTCGATACATGTCGTGAAGTAAGCATAAAGAAGCATAG